AGGAAAAGCATTTCGATGACGTTTCCAATTTTTAAATTTACACGGGCATCAGATGCGGGTGATTTAGATTTTTTTCTGTATTTTTTTTTTGTTAGGGTATTTTTGAAGTCGCGTGAGACATTTATCGACCCGAGGTCAATAATTGTATACAGCTAAGCTCCTAATCTGCTACGTATAATACAAAGAACATCTTTCCTATAGCAGATTAATAATTCTGATACAACCATTAATGTTACCTGATGGGTGTTGATGCCCTTCATTCCTCGAAAACGACTTAATTTTTTCCCGGGAAATACTCGCATCTTTGAAGAGAACTCCGTCACAGACCGCCGTACCGGCCTGATTCTATACCGCCTTTTGTGTTTTCACTTAAGTACGTTGTTCTCTTGTCTGAAATCTGCAGGTTCCATCCATTTACCTTTGCTTCTAAACACGCGAAATAAAACTCACTTCTCACCGAAAATTGCGATTTTATGATCATCATTTTGAATGTGGTTATTCGAGATGTGCTCTCGAGATTGTAGCGTCATTCCCTTGCAAAACCTGCACACACACGCTAAAATTACATGTAATGGGCCTTTTAAGGATGGAAAGAAATGAAACAAGGTTAAAAAAAAGTTGATTAAAATAGGATTCATTCATTATCTTTAGTGGTACTTTGTACCCGTCCTACCCGCGAACACTATAAAACTGCCTTGATAGCCACGCGTGTCACGCTTCTTTTGCAATACTTCCCTTTGGGACTTCTCACAAGAAAGGAAAAAAGAAATGATTAACCCGTTTTTAAATCCCCGACGCAGTACAGTTTGGAAAATTCCAAGGAGAAAAATGCGATCCATAACGGGAGTGAAAAAGGAGAAAGAACTTGGCAAGGTTCCTGCAGTATGAACCTTTTTATTGAAGGTTATGGCTCAAGCACCATAACTGAAAGTCTTTGCTGCCTATTAAGAAAATTCAAGGGCTTTAAAAAACTACATGTTGAACCTGCAACTGAATACCCCTACACTACTTGCTGCATCCAAAGAGAGGCCCAACAGAGATGAGGCAATGGGTTCTTTCGTTAGCAGATAAAATCTTTCCAGCCTTGTCAACTAAAGAAGGACTACAATGCCCTGCAATGTTTTGATTCTTTGTAGTTTAGGCTAAGCTAGGTCACTACTGCAATTAGTGACTTAGATGACCATGTACTGTATGGTCCACTTAAACTGTGACCGGTTTTCTTTATTATTATTGCCTTATCAATTAAAATATGCAAGATGGAAACAATCCATTTGTGAATTCTAATTTAAAAATGAGGATTTCCCATTATAACCTAAAGATATACAGCAATGAACAATAAAATACCATTTTATTATTAAGATATAAAGTTTCAACTTGTACATTATTTCCCAGTTAACAATCACACCCGCTGGAAAAAAAGGGTGACATGTTATTAGTCAAACACTAATCCGCCATTATTATTCAGAAGCTGTGAGCAAATAGTCGAGAAGAATTATGTATTTCCCACACACTGACACCATTGGACTTTAAAAGACCATGTAGTCTTATAGATTTTTTAGTTCCAACAATTATTGTTGCCATTGTTTGCTGGGTAGCAATCATTTTAATGACAACAAAGTTGCTCTAGTCCAGTCTTCCAGTGGTGAGTGAGAAAATTGCATCATATTTTATATACAGTAGGGTTATTTGCAATACATGGTATATTTATTCATCTGGGCCCAGTTGTTCGAAGGCCGGTTAGCGCTTAACCCGGAGTTAAATTTAACCCTGGTTTCTTTTTCTTGTGTTCAAAAGCATTTTCTCCGATAATTTTCTCTCTTATTTTTGGAGCTTCCAATCATCAACTTGTGGACAAAAAGAATTAAAACTGAATTGCTTTTTAAGCTTTCAAATCTTAATTCAAATCTCGCACTAACCCTGGGTTATCTTAACCCAGCTTTGAACAACTCGGCCCTGGAATCCTGTGAACTCCATCTCATCCTCCAACCTTTCAGGCTCCTGGAAATGAGGTCGTATGCACTTAACTGCACAGGAATCAAGGACGGTAATGTACCTCCTGTGTGCCTGCCAAGGGAGCCCCAGTATCACCTTACCAATTGCCTGTAGGCAATGTGCCTGCTTTTTTATGATCTGATTCTTCATATGCCGAGGCACCATGCTGCTGCTTGTATTGCCATGCAGCTCGTAACACCCAGTAATTCAGACAAACTGCCTGGAATCCTGGGTGTTCCACTATGCATCTCTAGGAGGCTTCTCCATATTTTTAACTTCAACTGCCTCCAAATATTTACGTTTTACAACAGCCACCTCTTGGAAGCAGATATTTTCCCCCCATCCAATAGTAGTTATTTTCTTTAGTCATAAATATTGAACGTCGGTTAATGGAGGGTAACAGAACAAGTGTTGAATATTGACCTTTTCATTCTGCACCCAGAAAATTATCAAACTGCCATAAGTCAGAACAGAGAATATTATTTCAATTTTGAGCTTATTCACTCTT